ACTTGGTAGCCCTGGCTGGCCTCGAACTCACAAAGATCCGCCTGCCTCTGCCTCCCGAGTGCTGGGATTAAAGGCGTGCGCCACCAACGCCCGGGGAGGAGAGTTTATAAGGCCGTCCCTGTTATTGAATAAACAAGCTTGCTGTTTGCCTTCAATGGATTCCTGGTGTCTATGTCATTGATGTCAGTTCTTCTTGTCTCCTCCCCTAATGTAGAGAAATTTGTAATTTAGTCACAGAAGAAGAATCTGTGGACCAGACATGAACATTTTAGTAGAGCTATCTATTCTTCATAGTGGATAAAAATTATTGCAGGTTATCTCTCTGTTGAAGAGAAAGGATGTATATGCAATGTTGACAGAGGAAAATGGAATTATTGTTGTTTCATGTTTAGGCAAAAGGATGGATGCTAGCTCTACACACTTCTGCTTCATAAACTTGATACTGCCATCATAAGATCATTATGTGAGTATCTTATGCTGCCAGGTGACTAAATATATATGCAGTGCATTAAATTCATACTCATAGTCTTTAACATTGTGGTAGCTCTAACAAATTATTTTGAAAAGTAAACTGATTCAGAAGAGGTTGATATTTGCATCATTGTTTCAGATAAGTTGAGATCATTGCAGGACCAGAGACAGGGTGGAGATGATTCTATGAGAGGATAATTAATGTTCCCTCATGAATTTTCTTCTTTCTGTAGAAACTGAGTTCAGAGTGAAAAAGAAACCAAAGGTGTGTAAAACATTAAATCTATTCTGCTAATGGTCCTTCTATGTTATTTTGGCTCCTCATCCTAAATTTGTACAGAAATCACAACCAATGAACCATGTGGGAACGTTTGAACATCCTGTTCATCTTAAGTGGATATGAAGTTTCTAGAAGACGTTTTACAAGAGATTGAAACAGAAACACTGAAAAATGCATGACGTTTAGTGAAATTATTATCAGTTGATTATATGGACAATCTCAGTAACTTGAGAGTTTTCTAGTATAGGATAATATAGTTTTTGCATGAAGAAAACTAAATAAAATATTTTGCCTGATGATACAGTAAGAAAGTCAGTCTTTGAGGTTCATGCCAGTCTGAAAATGTAGCAAGCGTTTTATGAAAATTATAAAAACCGTGCTTGAGTTAAGTCACCTAAATTTCATGAGAGCAGAAAAAAATGACCCTACATATTTTATTGGGCAGTTATAGAATTTCAGTATTACACTTTTCTAAATATTTTTTTAAAAGTCATATGTAGAAAGTTAAAATTTAAAAATTTTAAGAGTTAAAAGTTTGGTATCACACTTTTTTAGGGAAACATAAAAAGTGCATAAACTTGTATTTTACAATTATTTATTTAGTCAAATCATGTACAATCATTTGTGCTTTTCAATTTCTATTATCACATAAAATGTATATTAAAGTAGAATTTTGTGACACATGTATATATAATTATTATTTCATAAACCATAAAATTAATTAATTTTATTAACAAATTTTTAAAGAGCTTAAATGTTAGAATAAATATCTCAAATTTTATTTAATTCTCACAGTGTCTTCTTGATTGTCAGATAGTAATGACTGTCATTGGCAATTAATTCAGTAACTACAATGAATTTTAAAAATTTATTTATTCAGTTCTTTGATATTAGAATTCCTACTTTATGCAAACACAAACACAAATAACCAAATCAAAGTAAAGAACAGAATCCTAAATCTGCAACTCTAATCCAAATGAAATGTTTCTTCTCAGTTTCAGGGTCATTTCGTTTATATTATAACCAGTTTCAAGCACCACGGTCATCATGTGCATGTACTTTGTTGAAAAGGATGGAAAATGCAGAAATATGTGTGCAGCATTCTGTAAGTGTAATATCTAACTTTAGGTGGTTATGAATATGTTTATTAGCCCGCCTTTTTCATAAGAAAATATCTAACACCTGTTTTCAAGAATCAGCATTCCTTGGCAGGAAGTCTCTCTTCAGTTATGTACAGAACCACAATTTGAGGTACATAGAATCCTTAAATAAATTTCCATACCGTATTTCAGTCAGAAATATCTATAAAGTGAGTGGCAAGCATTAAATATATAAGACATCAATTTTCACAACCAAAGTTTTGTGTCACCATCCTCGGGGAGAAGTGAAGAAATACCTTCACAAAACTAAAGACTTCATTTTGATATCAAATTTATTGGAAAGTTAACAATACTTATGATAATGAATATAAACTGTCTATCAGATATAAGTCCATTAATTGTGAATTACCTTGGTGTACCCAGAATGCTGACTTAGTCTTCATATATAATTCTAGAAAGTAAAATATTATTATCTGAAGAATCTTTAAAAGAGAAACAATATTACATTTACTAGATATCAAATTAGAGATTGGCATTTGTCTTTTGCAAGAAGACTCTCGAAGGAAATGATTAATGAAAACTCTGGTATGTTAATCATTCTGAAGTGGAATGCCACATGCCCATCAAAATATCATCATCACAAAACAGAGTTGATAGGTTAAAAGAAAATAAGTGTGTGTGTGTGTGTGTGTGTGTGTGTGTGTGTGTTGATTGAGTAGAAAATAATTGGTAGTGGATCTCAATGTACTTTCAGCAATGTGTATTTCCTCCATATTCACAGAACACTTAAGAAAATAATTTAAAAATCAATAAAGTTGTGTAAGTCTAGACAATATAATTTAAGGGATTCACACTTCAGAAACAGCCATACTTCTAATGGTCATCTCTTTTTACTCCCTTATTTAATGAAGCAAAAGAAGCCAGTCTCAGTAAAGAATTATGGGACATCTATATAAAAATGTCTGCTGCATATGGAATCCCAAGAGAAAATATACAAGATTTCCTCAAAAAATGGTAAAAGATTGTGTTTCACATTGAGAATAATGATCTGAAATAAGAGAAAATAATACAGTTTCTTGATTTCCATTTCAAAAGAGAAATAAAAATTGTAGAGTAAATGAATGACATTTTTAACTTTGTATATCTCATACATCACAGACACCTGTCCTCAATGAAGCTACTGATTTGTTGAGATAATTTAAAATAAAAATACTTGTCGGTCAGAATTCAATATAATAAACAAAGCAACCATTTAATAAAAATATTCTATCTGAAGAAATAGGAACAAATATATGATGGGAAACTTTTGCAATAGTACAAAAAGAAGAAACAGTAAAATAAAAACTAAACCTGAAATCATTAACAAAATATCCCTACATATTTTAAAGTTCATAGTTCTACAGTCTCTTTTATTTATTATGTATGAGATGTAAATAAAAAAATAAAATTGAGGGATTGCAATCACTTCATTTCAAGGCCAATTGAAGATATATCATGAGTAATGAATCATTAAATATGAAGAACACATCTGCTTAAGTGTTGAATACGCTATAGTGACTAGACTTAATTCACAATATAAAGGGGATTTGAATTTATCAAACTTCCATATATAGTTTTTGTACTGTTTTATTGTTTAAATGAAAAAAATGCAAACTCCAGTGCTTGATAAAATAAAGTTTCTTATGTCTAAAATCATCAGAATTGTGCAAATATTAAATGCACACATTTATCATAAATCTGGTCAATATGATGGGATTTGGTAATTTGATCATTCTGTACCTTATCACTCAATCATGCATTCCTACAGAGTCTATAAAACCTATTGTCTTCAGTATCATTTAATATAGTTTCATTGATGTTTCTAATTTGAAATTTGTAATTTCAAAGATTGATATGACTTGCTACATATCTGTCAATGTCATCTAATTCACAAATGAGAAGTTGGACCCATCTTTCTTTCCCAATTGTGCATTCAGCTCTCTCGTGTAGTTCAGATTCTTCACACTGTTCTTTCTTCAAGATTCTTCCCTTGCCCTGTTTAGTAGAATTTTCCTTTTCTGTGAATGAGTGATTAAATTTCATCTTCTGGCATAAACTCTTTAAAAATTTATTGTGTTATTTAGATCCTCAGTATGGGACTCGTTTTTTGTATGAATGTGTGTATAGAGTGTGTGTGAATGGCAATGTTTGTAAGTCTGTGTGCATCTATATCAAGGACTTTGTGTGCAGAACAAGCATAAAATCTGATTTGAATTCTTCCTATCCACCTTCATCTGGGTGGTAGCCATCAAAATCAGATTGTCAAACTTAAGATTCCAAAGCTTTGCTGGGAACAGTTAGCACACGCCTCTAATCCCAGCACTCAGAAGGCAGAGCCAGGTGGATCTCTATGAGTTTGATGCCAGCCTGGTCTACAGAGTGAGATCCAGGAGGGACACCATACATCACAGAGAAGCCCTGTTTTGAAAAACAAACAAACAAACAAACAAACAAACAAACAAAAGAATCCAAAGCTTTACCCCCTGGACAATCTTATTAGTCTATGTCACATTTTATTTGAAACAAATTTTCTGACTACAACAACCATGCACAGTATTGGCTGCACTCAATATTTACATGGAAAAGTATGTGTGTGGGGGGCGTTGAGTGTGAAGTTCATATAAAATGAACTGACAAACTTAAAACTGCTGATTTATAAAGAGTTTAAATCAAAATATAAATCAATTTGAAGGCTTAATTCCTAGCACTAATGGAATAAAGCCATCTGATTGGATCCAACAAAACATGATGTGTGTTCCATAAACACATGATGAAAGATCTTGTAACCTTGACAACTAAATGGATTGGAGTAAAAATATTCAAAACAGGAGTCATGGGTTGTACCTAGCATCTAATTTCTCCAAAGTAATGAGCTTTAGCTCAGAATAACACAACCTGACATGTATATATTCCTGCAGGACTGGCCTCATTTCCAATTCGAAAACTATATTTTTCTATAGTAAAAATTATATGATAAAATTCAAATATTCAAAACTGAGTGCATCTTGTCAGGGGGTGACTGTAGTAGCATTCAGGATCAAGTGCTAAGTAAGACCACTGATTTCCTTCCTACTCTTAAGTAATGTTTTACACCTTCTAGTTGATGTTATCTAGCAATCCCATTGTTGTCTATTAACTTTGTTCATTTATGTTTAGTTTGGGGTCATATCTACTTACCTTCCTTCCCACAGACACCCCCACTTATGCGTAAAATTTCAGTAGATGTTTATCTACTACACTTTCTTCTCTGTTGTGTACAACTATGTCCATTAACTGAATGAATTTTGTGGTTTAATGATGGTAGATTTTCTTAACTATCCCTCATACATTCAATATGTTGTTTAATTCATCAATGGACATCTCATTTTTCCTCTCACATTGCTAATTCAACACTCTAACCCTGTATTTTATTTTCAAATGCCAATGTTATCCTTTGTCTACTGTTCTCTATTCTGTAAGCTACTTACCCAGAGTGGGCAGTTTCTGGATGAGACTCATTTTAACTCCAGATTTAATATTCAAAATAAATATATTGAAAGCTAGGCTCTACATATGAGACTTTTATCCACATTA